GGGAAGGATCGTGTCGAGGGAGGCAGGCATGGTTTTGGAAAGTGAAATCGAAATAGTACATCGCAGCACCTAGATAGATACATTCCTTGACGTACTGCAACTTGAATTTGGTGATAAATTTGGCGACGATGGTCTGGACCATGTAAGCCCAGTAAACGATGCTCGTCGCAGTCTCTATTGCGCTTCTATGTTGCCCACACGCACGGTTTGGACGTTGCTGCGAACGATATCATCACACTCGGACGGGAAGACTGGTTTATGGCCACGCAATGCACACAATGACTTGTCGCTGTCACGCGCAGTATTCGGTGGGCACTAGTCCTGATTGGACGATTCTTGAGCAAAATTTGGGCTTCGTTTCTTGGCCACATTCAGGAAAAGCGTGCGCATTCGACGACACAAGAATGCGTACTGGGACGCGTAAAAGATTGCTCGTTTAGTAACCAGCATTTTCTTCTCCGATTTTCGATTCGCCTTAAATTGGCCGTTTCATTTTGAGCAAATGTCGTGGTGCAATGTCTAGTAGTCGTGACAGCACTGACATACGCTGCACGCGGACACGTCAGATTCATATAAAGGCGCACGGGCTCGTGTGATGGCACAGTCGATCCCCATCTCAACTCGTCGTCACACCCCGCATGCAATAGCAAGCCATATCATGCGTCGAAATGTCGAATCGCGTTCCTGGTTCGACACGCAACTGTAAAATGACCGGCGCACGTCATGGAAGTCTTTGCACAGGTGACGTGTCCCAAGTGCGGAATCTACGAGTAGAGAGGAAGATGCAAATGCGTGCGGTAGACGCGCACATACATTCCGCACCTGTCACGTGGTCGTATAAAAACGCCATTTCTGCGACGAGCGATCAACTTCAAGCACGATTTGGCGCGAAATATAACACGGCTCTGTTCAGATGTGTTGCGTCGACAAAGTCGCTACAAGCACAAGTGCCACGCAGCAATGACAAGAGTTCAACTGCCGATCCCCACTGATTCAGGTCGGTTTGACGGTAATTCTCACTTTCCAAAACCATGCCTGCCTCCCTCGACACGATCCTTCCCGCGCCAGTCCTTAGCAACGCCATGAACAGCGTGCACTACACCAGCGACGACGACGTCGAGCTGCCCAACATCTACACGTACTTCCACGACTTTACCTTTGAAACGGACGCCAACATGGACGACATGGACGCCGTGTCGGTCTTTATTGCTGGCCTC